ATATAAATATTCCTATTATTACTTATATATAGTAATAGTTCTAAGGTGTATATGTCCGTACTAGTTTCAAGTTGCACAAATTAGTTTTAAGTTGTACATATTAGTTTTAAGTTGAATATATATTATTAGATTTAAGTTGTAGTTTCTAGTTTTACTTTTACACATGTTTACACTTAATCTTGTAATATATTTGATTTTAATAACGAATTGACACTTTCTGCTAAATGTAATAATAATATGCAAATTATTAGTTTAAGTAAAAATGATTTTATAATTAAATGAATAGAAATAATAACTGACTTTATTTAAAAGATTGAAATTTGCTAGAAGTAACAAATGAGTGACAGATATACTGGTTACTGCTTGTTCCTGCCAACATATTTATATGTTAAAAGTAACAAACTGCTAACCAAAATAATAACACTAACAAATATTTTGGTAACAAATAATTTTCGTTATGCGTAACATATATGTAGGTAAGCTATGCTTATGCAAAAGTATTTGCTACCCGTAAAAGACTGTAAAGAGATTTGTTTACAAAAGTAAATATTCTGTTAGAATAAGGCAGCATGCGATATTCGCTATTGGTTAGATCTAGATAACCATTGTACATCAAATAGCTATGTATTACTTGTTTCCCACTCTCTGACCAAAAATAACAAATATTTTAATTTATTGAAAAGTCAGCAATAACATAATAACGCTTACACGTTTGCTAACAGCTAACTGTCTTGTAGGGTGTTTTCCACCACAGCTAGTTGAAAAAGTGAAAATTTAACATTTAACTGAGTATTCAATTAAAATTATGCCCAGAAATATACATTGCTATTGCAGACGTACGTTGGCTTTTTGTCTATGGTTTTATACGTTTACATGCAATCATATTTATTGATATGAATATCATTTTGCGAAAAAATAGGGGCAATTGGCCTTTATACGATTTGTGTTTTCCGGCATGGCTCGGATTTCCTTCCAACAGCACAATGTGGAGATGCTTTGTCGTCGCGTCAGTCCTGAGACATATTGACTCTTTAACAAAACGTGAGTTTCGGATGTTGTGACAACGGAGATTTTCATGAAACAATGAATGTACATATTTACATACAAAGTTGTCTGTATACAAATTTACTGACATTACCTTATTGGTTCTTTCAAATTTCTTTACATGCACACATAATTACATATATGACAACTTGGTCTTTTAAGACAGCTTTTTATGCCTAAAGCAAGTAAATACTCGTACATATGTAGATACATATATAATTTATTAAACTTAGGTTAATTAAGTTTTTAGAGAATAATATACAACGTTCTCTATTATATATCTCAAAGTATTTTATTGAAATCATCGTGAAATATACCAATTTGAACATACATACACATATATTTATGCATTGTTACCAAATATATAGAGTTTCCATATCTCAAAATAATATGCAGAGTCGTTTGCGCATTGTGAGTAAACGAATAAAAGTACATTCTTTACTACTAAATTTAAAACAACCAAAATGAAACTTCCGCCAGAATATACCCAACGGGATAGTGGTTCAAAAAAATTTGGTAAAATTCTTCGATACCAGGTATTGCATAAAAGTAATACTATGTTCAGACCGAAAATTTAAAAGATTAGATTACATTTAAGCATTTCATAACCCAAAACTGCCGTTGGTGATTTATAAATCAGATATTTTTGACATTCAGCCATAAACATCAAAGTATTTATTAAAGGAAAACATTGTAATGTCGTATGTTGCTATAAAAATTGTCTTCTTTTTTCTAAATATTATATAATATATCTCCGCTCAATGGAAATAATTTGGGAATTGTTTGATTCTAACCGCATAGCACTGAAACGTTTGCTGTATGTACAAGTAGCGCTAAAAATGTGTAGTCAATATGGAGCAAATTCAACAAGGTCTATTTGGATAAAGGCAAGTACATATGTCTATAAATATTCGTATTATAACTTCGTTTAATTATGTGTATATAATTMAGACTCGTGGCCAAATGTTTTGGGAAGTCGACTGCCAGGTGAATTCAGATGCATTTCTTAAAAACAACTTCCGAATGAAGCGCAATTCTTTCATTAAATTGTGTATTATGTTGAAAGGTTTGGAGAAGAAAAACACTAACTACCGCAAGGCAATTCAATTAGAGAAGCGCATTGCCATTGCTTTATATGCTCTTGGCTATACTGCAGAATACCGATCAATTGGAAATATGTTCGGAATTGGTAAAAGCACTGTCTGCTCCATTCTAATTGATTTCTGTCTTGAAGTTTGGCGTTGTTTGTGGTCTTTGTATTTGAAGAAATTCCCAATGAACGAAATTCAATTGCGCGAGTATTTAAATAGCTTTGAGTCATTGGGCTTCCCTCAAGTGTTAGGAGCTATAGGTAATTAGTTAAATTTTTTACATTGGAGTTTTTATATATTTTTAAGTTTCAGATGGTTGTCATATAGATGTTCGCCCAGCTGCAGAAGATGCTGTTGACTACTACAATTACAAAGGCTGGTATTCCACAGTTCTTTTGGCTTTAGTAGATGCAAGGTAAGTTTTTTCATGAAGCTCATTTAAACACCTAATGTATTTCTTTAATGCTATAGATGCCGCTTTATATACATCAACGTTGGTAGTCCAGGCCGTTGTAATGACTCTTCAATATTTGAGAGATCATCTTTAAAACGCGAGTTGGCACAATCTACTATATTTAAAGACATGAGTAGACAAATATCGTCAGTTAATGTTCCACTCGTTTTGCTGGGCGACTCTGCGTTCAAATTTGAYGAACATTTGATGAAACCATACCCGTTTTGTGTAAACCAACCTTTGGATAAAAAAAACAATTCAACTATGTACTCTCGAAATGCCGAAGGGTGGTGGAGAATGCGTTCGGTCATTTAAAGGGAAGGTTTAGACGGGTTGGAAAAGGCTTGGATAACCACATGGCCAACACGAAAATAGTCCTAAAAGCGTGCTGCGTTTTGCACAATTCTTTAGGTGAGGAAAATGATGAAATTAATGAAAAGTGGATTGCAGCACAACAAATCGAAAACGAATCTCGGCAGTTGCCAGAAGACGTCTCTAACATTTGTGGAAATGTCAACCCAAGAGTAGAAGAAATAAGACAAGCGTTCGTTTTGTATTTCGGTGAGTTATTACATTCAACTTTGAAATATTATTAAATCTCAACCGATCCATACCTACATATCTCATAACTCAATTCCAGTACAAAAACAGATATTTTTATATTTTATATATGTTACATATATATTTTCGTATTCATTTATATATAC